ACCGGCCATGAATATTCTGACCCGGCTGGGCAGATCAGAGGGGTCCGGAATACTGTCGCCATCGGAACAACCCCAAATCCGATCATCTTGCAGTCGATACAAAGATTCGGTTTCTCCTGTCGATGACTCGTCCCGGAATACATGACGGTCTCGCCACCAGATTCCAATCCATCCTCATAGCTTCCTCCATGGATGACTCCCACGAAGGCACGCTTCACGGCCGGTTTAACCTGGGCAGATCGCGCACGCTGAGCCGTCTCGAAGAGGTCGGTGCAGATGTCCGGCTCATCATCGATGTAGAGCTTGCCGCGACGACTCTTGTTCATCCGGCCCACAACGTAGCCCTTGAGTCCTTCGAAGTTGCCCTCCAAGAACTTGAAACCATCGTGCGATATCCCCACGGTGGGCGCCAACTGTCATGGTTTTGTCACGGCAGATGTCCTCATGAAAGGACTTAGTCGTGGAGCCATCGCGACGGGTTAGCTTGAAGGGGTTAAAGAGGACACAGGGACGCGAGAGAGTTTATACTAGTTCGGCCCCCTCGATGAAGGTAAAAGCCTACGTCTAGTTGTGATGGAATTGATGGGGTTTCGATGACTAGGGAGCAAAAAAGCTTCGCCTAAGTCTCGAGTTGTTGTCTGTTGTCCTTGAACCGCCGTCGGGTCGTCCCCTTATATACACGGGCGACACCCGTCGATTTATAGAGTCCCAACACCGGCTCATAGACATGTCGGGTTTGGTCTCTACCTATTCCTAACTTACAATACAAGTTACATACCAACTCCGGTTTATGGCTACATGCCTTAAACCGACTATGGGCCCTTAGCCCTCATCTGCCTTCTTGGGCGTTTAACATACTTAACTATTGGCGAAGTTAACCCGGCCCAGATAGGCCGGTTCATGCCCAGTAGTAATATTCCCAACAACTACGGCTTTTCAGCCTCCCTTTGCTGGTTCTGAACTATCACTGATCCCAGAGATCAACCTTCAAACCTTTTTCTTTGAATCTCAGGAAGGCTTTCTCGGGGAGAAAGCTGGTTGGGGAACTGCTAAACGACCTAAAACAAAAAGAGGAGACTGACTCTGACCTTTCAAAGCCCTATCTCATCTGGTTGATAGTAGAAGGTACGTACGATGATACCATGTACATAAACAAGGTCGAGCATATCTTTAATGATTTCAAACTAAAGCGTACCTAAAGCCTGCCCTGGATATGAAAAAGGGATTTGAGCCAGAAGAAGATGAGGATCTATCACCAGATGAGGAAATGGAAACAACTAAGTATTAGTTAGGTTTAGGTTTAGGAAATGGAAATGGTAACAGCGGCCCAAAAATGGTAAGGTTTTCTTTTCAAAGAAAAAGGAACGCAAAAGTTTTGTGAAATCCTTATCTTTCGGCTTTTTAAAGAAGATAGGCCATTACAAAAACAAGGTATAACAGTCAACTTTCCTATCAGGATTTTACAACCTGAATACCAAGGGACCACTATTAGAAGAGAGCATAATAAGTAAATGCCAGTGCCATCTTTGACTTGTTGATGGTCGGCGGCGCCATAAACTCGATAACCAGCACCGCGGAGTCAAGAAATTCAACTAAATAGAATCCTAAAACAATCTTATTCGAGCACACATGGGACCCACAGCAATGAAATTCACACAAGCGGCAACCATCCGAGCAGAGAATGGAGAAGGGAAATATACTTGAAATTGTTTTTTTCTGAATGAGAAAGCCTTTGGCAAACTCCTTGCAAATCTTTTTTTGCCGGGAACAATAGACATATTTTCTCAGTCACAACATAAGAAACCCCCAATGTTCCTCAAAGCCTACCCGGCCTGACAGCTTTAGTTGAATGATCTGATCTCGAAGCAAGCTTTCTACTTAAATTGCTATGACTGGCCAACTAATGATAGGACTACCTATCTTGATGCTTTGAATCTGTATTCAGAGATTTTTTCCAACTACCGGGACTACTAATTTCAAGTACAAAGCTCTCCTATGAATATGCTACTGCTCTTACTTTCTACCAGAATCCGAGCATTGAAGCAAGCTCTTTATCGCGCCATAACCAAGTCTCTCCTTGCAGCTCTGACCAATCCACCCGTCATTGCAAATAACTGCTCCTTACTATTTGATTGTATGTCCATTTTTGCTTGATGTCTGGCTCACCGGATCTGGTACATGAAAAAGCCATTCCTTTTCGCTTTCCTTCAACCACTCAGTATACTTTTTTACTGGAAGAGTCAAGTGAAAGCAATTAGTTTAGAAGGAAGAGGAAGACCTAGGGGGCTTACGTCCTCATTTCACTCTTTTTGCTCCTGCGAGACACGACTCAACTACTTTTTACAATTGACAAGGTAGCCCGGAGGTCAGATGAAGGGTCTTCCCCATAAAGATAAATTAGTACTTGGAAGGTTCAGATGAAGGAAGGGCTAAAACAAGGCAAAAACTATTCAATGGGGTAAATAAATATGAGCAATCCGTGAGAATAGCAAACCCCTATCTCTTAAAAAGAAGAAGATAGATAGGTCCATGAGTTGAGACAGAGAAGTTATAACTAATCAAGTAGGAGTTTACCCACGAGAGTCAGAGGCTACATCATCAAAGGGGTATAGAAATAATTCAGAAGCACTATGGCCTGAAGTGAAGGGCAGGAACGAACGGAATCAATGTGTTCCAATTTATCCGGAGTAAGGGCAGCAGCTGAGAAGGGACAAAAAATAGCGTAGACAAAAGGTAGGACCAGATCATGCGAAGAGCTCTTCGTCCTATTGATTAGGAATCTCGATCAGAAACCACCAGGCCATGTCTCCCGATAAAAGATGATCCCCACAATGGATGTCAGGCCTTGGCTTTATAAAATCTGATTGGATCCACACTAGAGGATAAGAATACAGATAGGTTGACTAAGAAGATCTTCAAATTTTCTTACCTGAAAAGATGAGTTATTCAAAGGAATACCTGAAGAATAGAATAGAACGGAATAAACACATGGCACAGCTGGGTGCTAGAATAGTAGTTGATATAAGTTCTAGTCACTTAAAAAAAGAACCACTGCTTAACTTAATTAGATCGTAGAAGATAAGCAAGCGGGTTCGGGCAGTTAGTCCTATTTGAAGGCAAGAAGTTCAGGTAGTAAGGGCTAGGTTTATGTAGGGGCTATATTTTTGATAAACATGTGGTCTTGCTCATTTCTCATCAAGGAATGGAGATTGGGTTGGTGTTTGGAAGGGTGATTCAGTAAACTGACCTTGGCCAGCAAGCAGAAAAAGGACTGACGTCTTGGGGCGCGCTAGCGCGCGTACCCTTCTTCTGCGAGACTCCATCCAAATCCACCACTTACTTCTTGGTTGGTGTTCCATTCTGTTATCTTAGACTATGCTGCCTTCTTCAATTCCATTCTTCGTCTCCCTAGTCGAAGTCTTCTTGCTGGCCCAACCCAACATGCATTTTAGAGTGCCGTGCCAGGGCAATCGGCGCTCCGCCAGTCACGCATGATCGCCAGAGCCTTTCTTGGCTATGTAAATATAGGGCCGAAATAAGTGCAAGATCCTCAACAAAATGGATTAAGGTGGGCTTCGGGATTTTCATAATTTTTTCTATCTTTTCATCAAGTTCTTGTTTGATCTGCTGCTATTATCACAATATCCCTCCTTTTAGGGTTAATGCTATCAATGGTGAATTGATCATTCGCTATCCTTTTTTTAGAAGAGCTTTTTTGAATGGAAGAAATGTAATGAAACCCGCGATGGCTACTGAATAACCTCCTTTGATTTTTTTATAATAAACCCTTTGACCTTTTTCTTCGTTCGCCAAATCTTCTTCGGTTCTATCCAAGCTCGGTTTTGTCTGAATCTTTGTGGAAGAAGAAGAGGTTCGCCAGCCGCTACATCCAGGGATCCCACAAAATCATTAAACCTGGCGGCTGCTCGCTCTTTGATCAGTGATTCACCGGCCACTAGATCGATGAAGAATCTCTCAAAAATCCGGTTTTTGATTAGTGATTCACCAGCCACTACATTCTTGGATCCCACCTTATTCTCAAACCTGGTGGCTCGCTTGATTGGCAGTCATGTAAGCTCATCTTGCATACAAATTTTGGGGGTACCAGGGCCTGCATCCACCAAGAACATTTCTTCCTTAAGCGTAAGCGTAAAACTGAAGATTGTGAGGCATTTCCACTACATAATAAGAAACTAGAATTAGATCTTGGAAATGATCGACTCCAATAGATGCTCATCATAAGCTTTTTTTTTCCTCCTATTCCTATTGATTAGAAGTATCCAGCAGCGCCACACCAGAGTGACTTCCGAAGCGCTACGGATGGGACGAAATCCGGCAGCCAGTTGCTGGCTCTGAATAACCAGCCCAGCAAGAAGCTAAATTCTTCCATAACATAACGTAACGGGGCGGGGTTGCACGTGAGCCGAGTGACGTAGGTGCACAAGAGTACTTCGTGCCACAACCATCTCCTTTTTATAGGTTCTATGGACCGATGCCTCCTGCTTCATCTGGTAAAAAAGAGTCATAGATATGCCTATAATTAGAAGGAAGAACCGCCATAAAAATCTTCCTCGTGTATCGTCTGTAGCGGAACTATGAACGGGAGCTAGCAATCCGGACCGTATTGAAAAGGTTCCTAAGACACAGGATGGAAGAGTCAAAATATTCAGAAGCGAGGTCCAAGAATGAAGAAAGGGTAGGATTACTGAATGAATACGAGTTGTGGCTAATACCCGAGGCATAAAAGACGCATTTTCTACGGGATCCCGAAACCACCAGCCACCCCGACCTAATTCATGATGAGCCCACCAACTTCCTGGCGAGATGCCTATGGTTAAAAACAACCAACATGTCAAGATCCAAATTCGAATTGGTTCCTGGTCCTGGTCAGAGACCACCATGTTCGCGCCGGTGGTCCAACAAAGAGGCGAAGTAGTGGTGTCTTTCTTTCCATTACGAACGACACGCTTCGCCTACTCCCTCCCCGTGTCCATTAGCACTCATGTCCAGAGCGAAGAGAAGGCGAAAAAGCACCGCCGAAGTAGCATGAGCAGGCTTCTATTGCTACGCAACAAAAGAGCAGGCGCGCCGCCCACAAAATGTTTGAATGATCGGGTAAAGAGCGAGCTTCTTATATGGGATCCGACGCATCCAGCAGAGCGAAGTAGCGTTCCATTCTTTTCGGCGGCATCCTTCCGCATTGGCGGCGAGTGGAGTGCCACAATCCCATTCATCATTTTTGATCTACATAACCCAAAGCCCATAGCACTGGCGACATCTCTGGCATAAATGCAAGGAGGATGTATAGCTGATATAGGATCTTGTGGAACTAGATTTGATTCTGCAAGCGGTTCGGTATGAACGAAGAAATTTTGAACAAAAGGATCGGAACTCGCTGATAGGAAAGGAGAGAAAAACAAAGCAATGCCAAGAGCTCCGTCAATCTGCTGTTCATCGATAGACGAAGCTCTCTCTTTTTCATCTCGTGCCAGATGTAACAAAAGATTAGTCCTTTTTCCTTCCCGCGAACCACGGGAGCACCCAGCGCCCAGAAGAGAAAAGCTCATTTTCAAAACAGAGTCAAGCGGCGCATTAAAAAGGGCTGGCCCGTTAAAAGGACGCTTACTTTGCGGACGAAGTTCAGAATCAACAAGGGTTCTCCGAACGAAGGGAGTGTACAACTGGGGCGCAGCCCAACTTTTTTGTTGGAGAGATAGAATGGAGTTCTTCACGAAGTTCGAGACAAAGGAAAAAATCAAAGTTTCTCTATAGCCTCTTCGTTTTGAGACATTATGGCTTTGGGGTCGACCCCGGTAACAAAAAAGGAATCCATAAAAACTTGGGATCCAACACCATGATAAAATACTACCCTCGTGATTAGACCATGTCCCTGAGATTTGATAAAAAAAAGGTGCATTAGCGGTTAATACATTGTAATTAGATAAGTTATTTGGAATATGACGGAACAAAAGACCAATGAAAGGAAGAAGAATGCACCAAAATGCAAGTGTTGCACCAAACGCTGGTGGGTGTTTCTTGTTGTAAGTGAATGCAATGAAAAGACCCGGAAATAACGAATAATGAGAAAATTCATTTATAGACATTTCGTGCTCATTTCCAAATTTATGCTTAGTTATTCCCATCATCCAGTAACCACAGGATGATCCCAATCTCCTTTTAGTAATAGATCTTTTTGATATGTCTCAGTCTTAGCGGCAAGGAAGAGAAAATGCATCGAGTCATTTATCAAGAAAGTGGACGAGCATGGCGGTCCCTATATCTCTGAGGGGTGTACCACTTTTTTTTCAAGTCAGCTTAAGAGGTTCAAAAGAGAAAGTCACTCTCCTTATTCTTGGCTAGTGGAATGGAAGCAAGACTCTTTCCTATCCACTTTGCCGAGGGAGAGAACTAAAAGATAACTCAAGCTAGACAGAAAGGTGCAAAAGTCCACCGTTTCTTAAGGATCTTGTAAGCAAGTAGGTTAAGATTGTCATTTAGCTTCAATTTCTTCAGTCTCACAAGCGGGTCCGCATGCAACAAAAGAAATTGTATTTTCCTACTACTCCGACCTTGCCCTGAAAGGATAAGGAAATTGGATAAGAGCGAGAGCTAGACTGACTATTGGTCTAATGCTAGTGGAGGATTCAGACTGAGGACCCCCTGTGGCGGCTACTCATAAGAAGATGAAGGATTGAAAGAGGACTGATCACCCCTCTGATTTGTGATCTTTTAAAAGAAAGAAAAAGCCTTCTCTCAGATTTAAAGGTAAATGAAAGCGGGATTTTTTTTCTCTCCTCTAAGCTAGCAGCAAGTCAAGTAATCTGAGAATGCTGCCCCCAATCCGTAGCTGAGGACAAACTCAACTCATAAGCTTTTTTTGAACCAAGCACTTGTTGTAGAAATGAAAAACCACCCACTAGCAGAGGCTGGAACAACCCATAGAAGTGTAGGGGCTGCTTCAACCAGGCGTACCCGTATCCATTGATTTACCTCCTCTAGAGAGTATTGAACTTTGTGACAAATAGGTTATAGTTACACTCCTTAAATCCCTATTCGCGAGATATAAAAGCTAGCTAGTAAGAAGACTTCCCTTCTTTTCTGGGAGGGTGAGAACTTGAAAGACTGGCAGAGAAAAGGAAGAAAAGCGGCTAATGCTATCTAAACGATTATTTCAAAGTTTACCAAGTTCGATCGTTCACGAGACAGGGGACTCTTTTAAATAAGACAGTGTATGGCTGCGAATAAGTCTATTCGGCAAGTCATAGAGAAGGACTGGATATAAGATATTCCCCGGTTCTTCATTGGATCCTTTTAGTTTAATATTACTTTTTGGAAGCAATCTCATAATAATATGTATTAGGGACAGCATTTAGGATAGCAAAAGCATTTTTGGAGCAAGAGGGATTACCTTCTAGATTCTTTTATGATACCCTCTGTGTCGCCTTCTCCTGGATGGCCAGCCTAGTGTCCTGAATCCTTGAGCTCTTCCTCATGGCTTTGACTGGTGACTTACATTTCATCTTATTTGCTGCTCTCTTAGTCCTTGGATATGATGTCTTCTGCCACTCTCCTTGGTGGCTATTCTCCACCATCTCAGTCCCCTCTAAGGTCAGCTGAATCTGATCAGTGGTTGTCCCTGCCTAATCCACCAAGTGTGTACAAGACAAGATCTTTGTCTGTCACAGGTTCTCCTGCTGCTGCAAGTTGATCAGACTGGAATTTGATCCTGCGCAGATAATCTTGAGCAGTCTGGGATCCTTTCTTGATCGTTTGGATCTGAATACGCAACTCAATTATTTGAGCATTTGTCATACAGCCAAGACTTCCGGGTTTTTTTTTCAGGTTTTCTCCCTTTTCTACGAAGGTTTGCTACTCCACCTGCACCAGTGAATTATTCTATTCTTCTCCTTTGGTTCAGTCTGTGGGGAAATCAGAATTCACCATTGAATCCTGTGGATCAGCTCCCTTACATAATAATATTTCACTGTATCAGCTACGAGGGGAAAATCTGAAAGACAGAGGATAGAGAGTGAGAGAAAGAGTGTGAGACTTGCGCCACTCTCCATTTCGAGGGGATTTCGATGATTCTGGGGTGATTGAACTATTTCTTTACCTGTTCAATTTCTAACGAATCAAGATATCCTCTTGTTCTGGTATAAATAGTAGCTATCTGCTCTTCCACTGGGAGAGCATTTGCCTGGGATTGTTTAAGCAATTCCCTTAATCGTCGACCCCTTGCCAATTGATTCTGACTTGTTTTATCGAGAGCAGAGGCGAACAATAGGCTTGTCACTCTGCGAATTGAGCTAGTTCCAATTTGGATTTGCCAGCTACTTGTTTCATGGCTTTAATTTGAGCCGCAGATCCTACTCTGGAAACAGAAATACCCACATTAATAGTGGGTCGAATTCCGGCATGGAATAGATACGCAGATAAGAATATTTGTCCATCTGTAATGGAGATTACATTAGTAGGAATATAGGCGTAAACATCTCCAGATTGAGTCTCAACTATTGGTAAAGCGGTCATACTTCCTTCGCCTAAAAGAGAATTTAATTTAGCGGCTCTTTCTAAAAGGCGTGAATGCAAATAAAAAACATCCCCTGGATAATCCTCACGGCCGGGAGGTCTTCTTAATAGAAGGGACATTTGGCGATAAGCTTGTGCCTGTTTGCAGGGATCATCATAAATTATTAAAGTATGCCGTTCGCGGTACATAAAATACTCAGCCAGGGCTGCTCCCATATAAGGAGCGAGGTATTGTAATGTAGCAGGTGAATCCGCCATTTCAGCTACTACAATAGTGTATTCCATGGCCCCCTCCTCATGGAAAGTAGTTACTACTTGAGCTACGGAGGATGCTCTTTGACCGATAGCTACATAAACACATATTACACCTTGCCCTTTTTGATTGAGAATTGTATCTGTGGCTACTGCTGTTTTGCCAGTCTGTCTGTCCCCAATAATGAACTCTCGCTGACCGCGCCCCATAGGGATCATTGAATCAATAGCAATAAGCCCTATTTGAAGAGGTTCGTATACGGAACGCCTGGAAATTCTACTTGGAGCAGGAGATTCAATTAAGCGAGATTCGGAAGCTACAATTTCGCCTCTCCCATCAATAGGTTTAGCCAGAGCATTTATAACACGACCCAAGTTATATACGCTCACGGGTATCTGAGCAATTCTTCCGGTTGCTTTTACAAAACTTCCCTGTTGATGCTAAACCATAGCTCTAACTGAGTCAAATTCCACAAATTCTAAGAACGATATGCTTTTTTTCATTTTCCACTGTGAAAGCTTCTCTCAATCCCTCCCTAGTCCTTTCTTTCCTGGGCACAGGCTTACCTGGTTGACCGCCCACATTCATTCATTGTTCGTTCTGTTGTGGAATCGAACCACAGAGCTAGCACAATTGCGATTTAGAGTCCCATGCGCGAAACTAAAGAGGATTTTCAGTCCTCTGCTCTACCAGCCAGAACCTAGAAGGACACTTCACACCCGATTTGACACAGCTAGACTGGAAACACTGCTTGTCAAGAGCACAGACCCCAGTATAGAATACTTTTTTGAGTATGTTCGTAAGGTCCGGTCATCCGCTTCTGTGCTTGCACTTCTGTGTAACTAGGGGTGCAGGATCAGGGAAGGTGGTGTGCTGCAAAAGTACTAATGTTGTGTGGTGGTCTTTGGTCAGGGAGAAAAACAACGGACTATTACAGACCCTCCAAGGTGCCCTCGTCTAATTGGCCCCCTGATTTTCAGTTGTGACCCCACCTCACTTAATTTAATTCCAACCAATCAGGATCTAATTACCCTGTAAATCCCTCGTGAAAGGTTCGTGCGTCTAGCATCTCTCATCTTTGGTAGAATGTTTACTGAACAAGAACTCACAGATGTTGAAAGTGATGGGTTGGCAGTTGCATCTAGGAAATGCACATTGACAACCGGATGACAATATACACACCTTACCATACAAAAAGACTTTCGCCCCGCTTTATATATAAAGCAATAACCGACCACAACTCAGATACAAATGCACGTCACCACGACACACACGCAAACCCAAAACTGGATACATAAGCGCTGAATGCAACAACACTACCCCTAGTACTATAAGAGCAATCAGAGTTCTCAACCGTGAACACGCCACCGAGAAGAGAAAGAGGCGCATACGATGAACCGTGTGCTCTAAGGCAGCACCTTCAGGAAGATTACGACACCAGAGCGCTGCCACCGCCTGACACGAGGATCAGAGTTTCCCCTGGAGCAACACGACAGGCAATGAGAGTCACAACAACGCCTTCAAGAAGGAAACAATCTTCGCTGTCGTCAGTCTGTCCGAAGATAGATCAGGTCTTCACCCTGGCCAACACTCACCACCACTAGACGCCACACCCCGCCGCCCACGCCGCCCACACGGCCATGGCCAATGGACAACACCTAACCACGGGCTCTGCCAATGAGCACCGCGGAACCACCCCCAGGGGTGCCACCCTGGCATCGAAGACCTGGACACCACCTCACTCGAGACCCACCGCTACCCAACCAAAGATACGAGTGGAAAGGATCCGCCTTTCGCACCCGTGGCTACCACCAACGCCGAAACTCAATAGGCCGCCCAATACTGGCCTTCATCGATGTAACGCCCCGAGACCGATGTGCCAGGTGTCGTCCAGTTATTCGTTGTTGTTGTCTTGTCATTTGCTGGCGTGTTGCATTTCATGATGTCATCATGTGCATTGCATCATCATGTTTTCAAAACTTGCATCCGTCCCGGTCTCCTCGTTCCTTCCGTTGCCCGTTCTGAGCTCAGACACACTTGCACGCGCCCGCGGCATGTCCGAAATATTATTTTTATAAGTGGCATAAAAATGTTCTCGGAATGGGGTGATAGTTGGCATGCGGTCTTATTATAGTGTGGATAGACCGCCTGCCAAATTTCGTCGCATTCGGAGTTCGTTTGGCAGCCCAACCGTCGTCCGTAGCCGGTCTATCGTCGGACGTTTTCGGTCTCCGGAGACAGTTGTCGGGCTGCACTTCCCTTCTCTCCACTCGGCCCTACTTCTCTTCACAGCCCACTAGCCCACCTACCATACCCCTCCTCGCGTCCGGTGCCGTCCGATCGAGATCGGAGGGCTCCGAAACC